GAGGCTATGTAACTACAGCTGAATTAGTATTGAAAATGAAAAGAGACTATGTAACTACAGCTGAATTAGTGTTGAAAATGAGAATGGACTATGTAACTATAGCAGAATTTATGTTCAAAAGAAGATATTATGTAACTATAACAGAATTCGTGTTAACAAGAAGATATTATGTAACTATAGCAGAATTTATATTCAAAAGAAGATATTATGTAACTATAGCAGAATTTATGTTACACATTTTTTTAGTCTAGAAGCGTTGCTGCTTCAGTGCATCTAGCATGCTAGAATGAATGAATTTGTTGAAGATAAGCAGACACTATACGTTATTATTTCGATTAATTGTCATTTCAACAGGTAATATCCAATAAAACACTATTAATCAACTTTCATTTTTTTCTTCTATAAGATAATATTTTCTGTTCAGTTTATTCTTTTACAGCTATTTCAGGGCAAACTTGATAAAGATTTAAGACTTCCTAAAACTAGCAGGAAAACAGACACAATCGAATTTTTCCTTAAAGCCTACTGATGCGGTTGTCAATACTGTAAAAAAAAGGAAAACTTAGAAGAACTATACGTATAAATGGTCTTGAAATATGATAAGTCAGACAAAATACACATAAAATATTTGTCCTTCTGTATGAAATGCCATTTTTTCTTATTGTATTTTTGCTTGAAACTCTTCAAAACGGGAAGGACAAATAAATTCATCTATTTTCAATTTCATAGAGTGGACTTATATTTCATTCTTTTGACAAAATAATCGATTTTTATCATTATATAATGCTATTTTGTTTGTTGGGTATGCGTTTCTCTACCCCAAAGGCGTTAAACTGTTTATTTGCGAAGAGTGAACTAAATTAATTTATTTTTCCAGATCCACCACGTGCACCTACTCTTCAAATATTGTCTACCACATCGTCTTCTATCCATTTAACATGGGATAAACCAGAAAATGAGAATCCAGTTGACGGTAATAGTATTATGTCATTATATACCTTTGTGTTAACATTTGAAATGTGGTAGAAAACAGAAATTTCAACAAAAGATAAAAAAGTAAACCATTTTTAAGCAATGTAAATGTGGTTAAATGTGTTTACATATTTTTTTGTTATTTTTCTAACCGATTTATAGTGTTCACTTATTCTTATTGAATTTGTTCTTCATTGTTTCAATGGTAAGCTTCAGAGTTTATGATGCTAAAATTTGGAGTTCCATCCCTGCGGCGGCACAGTACAGACAGCTCATTGTGCAGCCTTAGGCTAAAACAAAACAACAAACTCATGCTTATTTTGTAGTCAAATTAGACTTTGAAGAGTCTTGGTTTACTCGGGTTCGAATCTCCGTCACACCTCGTGTAGCTTTGCGCGAAATTCAAAAAACAAACATCTTGGTTTATTTCAACTGAAACATTTGTTTCTTCTAATCATGCTTTCTCGTTTATATGTTTTACTTCTTATAAAAAAAAAAACGATGCAAACATTTAGAATATAATAATTTTTTACATTACCATATTTAACGAAAAAGAATATATAATAATTTGTAGTATTTCGATGTCACATGTTTTTCTTCCGAAGAAGGAACGTTTGTTTCGTTTTAGCGCAAAGCCACATTGGGAAATCTGCTTTGTCCACCTTGGGAAACCGAACCCCGGATTTCAGCATTACAAATCCTTAAATTTATTGCTGACCCAACGGGGGACAATAATCAAAAGAGCTGCGAATCAACCAGAAATTAAATTATGTAAAAATTAACAGAGAGCAATCGTTTATTCTTTTACCTTTTTCTTAAGAGAAAAAATATTTTCATGGGGATTAGAAAGTAAAATATATTAAAGATCTATTCATTGATTAAAAAAAAAACTTGTTTGAAATTTAAATATTTCTCAATCGGTTAGATCTTTAATGGATTTTGATTTTAAGCTGTAAGACGAATTTACTCGAATAAATATCTCATTCTAGTGAGAGTAATTATTGCAGTATTTTTGCTACAGCATTGATATCTGGTAAAAAACATTCTTATGGTTGTGCTTTACTCACTCTTATTTCAGTTCCAGATCCCATGTATGATCTTTGTTATTATTACTGTTATTTGGTTTATTTTTTATAACTTAACTCTATAATAAGCATTAGAGACCAACATTCGCGGGCGAATGCAACATGTCTCCGCCACGCAATCCCAACATGGCCAATTTTGACAAAAAACAACAACAAAAAACTGTGTATATCACTGCTTGGGGCGTGCAAGAAGTTGGTTGACATACACATGAATAGTTCACGAAAACCCCAAATTGTGCTTTGCTCGCTGAAAAATTCAGCAAAAGAAAAAAAAATCTAAAATTATTTTTATCTCTGTTTGGGATCTGCAAGCAGCATCTTTGCATTAAATCCAACGTAAATTGGTCGAAATATGGCGAAGAAATGGATTTATTAATGGACCAATTTATACTTTGTGATATTTTGACCCCCTAAAATGACCAAAAATGGGCATATCCCACATATTTTGTAGGCATATGCATGTATAAAACCTGTAGAAAAGTATCTTTGTACCAAATCTCATGTAAATTTGCCCCAAAATTATGCTTTTCTCTGATCTCTGGGTTCCCTGAAAAGACTCAAATTGGGCTAATCCAACTTTGTGTCTCATTGTGTTGGGCGAGTGAAAATGTATATTTGTGCCAATTTTCATCTTGATTGCTGTAAATATGAAAAAATGTAAATCATGTAAATAAAAAAATAATTAAAAAGTGTCTGGGCGTATTGGACCAATGTGATCGATTAAAAAGTGTTTGAAAGAAGAGCACTAGAAAAACATTATGTCTCTCTGTGGAGACATAAGGTATAGAAAGACCAGAAAACAAAAGTGATTATCGGGTTAATTATATACTAAGAATTAAAAAAATACTTGAAGTAGCCAATCTACAAATAATTTTATGAAGCTTAAAGCATGTTATACATCTATTATTCGAAAATGGTTTAAAATGAAATTATCATTATATGCGCAACCCTAAATATTATTAGGAAAACTGAGAGATTTACTATTGATTCTTATAAATTCATCATGTTTGAAGTTTCATAACATGAACATTCGTGTTTTATTATTTACTCGAGTCACCCTGTTTATCAATTAAAAAAACTCTCCCAAAAACTCGGCCGTTACTGAAAAAGCTAATCATAATTGTGGAATTAGAGGCACGAGTGGATTTTATGAATTATAAGTTAAAGTTATAAGTTTTGTAACTCCTATTGAGTTTAACCATCGATAAACGTTTATCCTTAATCCGTCTGATGAGATAATCCCATAATTATAATATTCTTTAAATTACTAGATACTTGTAGCGTTGAATGTTACAAGGTCGATGAAAACGCGTGTTGCGATAATCTTATACAAGTTACATATTTGAAACGAAGATTACATATCCGTGCTAATAACCGTTAGAGAATGAGGAGTAAATCTGTTATAATTATATTTTTGACGAAATCGATAAGTTCATGCACATATTTTCTTCGTTTGCTCTACACAGAATATAGCTTATACCACAAAGAAGAAATCTCCGAATGGAAGCAAATAAAACTACCAGGAAACATACAAAGTCACGTGTTTCATGATTTAAGGTGTGGTAGGAAATACGAGTTCTATATGGAAGCTCAAAACAGCGCCGGTAGAGGACGGCCTAGCGAAGTTATTACCATTACGACTGATGGCTCAGGTACAGAAGTATATCGTGTATTAATTATTAACAGTGATATTTAACGTTATATTTGTATTAAAATGTTTATGTGGACATGTAGTACAACATGAATTATAAATATTCCTCACATCATTTAACATTATTAACCAGATGATTAAAAACATACAGTACGTAAATATCAGCAGAATAAATTTAGATCACTGCTATTATGTCTAAGTACATAACAAACTATTTTGGGCTGTGAAGAAAAAACAACAACATAAAAAATTGCTTTAATTTGTTATGGTTCTAAAGCTGTTTACTTATGGTATTACATAATCACAAATTTATACATAAATTAGGTAACGAAGAACAAATGTAGGTTGGTTTTCAGAATAGCGTAAGCAGTTAGAATGTTAATCAGTACTATGGCAGACAGAGGTTTTTACTTTTAATTTTACTGTAGCTTAATATTTAAATGACATGCAGAATACAAGCATGAGTTTGAAAAAAAAATAAAAAATCCTTTTTTCCATTACCAGTCCTTGTTTTCTTCATTAAAGATATGAAACTATTCAGCAACTATGAAAATTCAGTTAAGGGTTAGAAGTTGTGTGCTTAAACCCTGAACTACTGCCTTTCATTGTCTGCAACCAGTTGTGGGAAAGCAGTTATTATTACTATTTAGATATAATATTAAAATATAAATAAATCAACCGTAAAACTCCCAACATTTATCTTTTTTGTTTTTAATATGAGATGTACAAGAAGAGAGAGAAATATTCTTATTGTAGAACTAAACCACCCTACAAAACTCCAACCTCCACTTTTTTATTTACAAACGATGTTAATCAGAATTAAAAACCCTTACCTTAATATATAGAACAGTTCTTAAGTCACATTCTCCGCTCTTTCTCTTGAAACTTTGTTCAAGTATAACCCGGGTGAGCTGAGACAAGCCCAGCTACCCGAAGTTGGTAGTTTCGTCCCACTATACTGAAAACATACCTAAATATTTTAAGGTTAGTTACGTATAAGCCAAGGACGTAAGTTACCTGAGTAACTAACGTCCTTTAATTTCTCCACAGGGTAAATTCCATAATCGAGCGTTTACTTAAAGTAATGTCATATTTAGTATGAAAAAAGTATGTAATCCTTAATATGGCAGTCCTTATAACCATTATTTTTCAATTTATTTATGAAAAATTGAACATTATGTTGAAAATAATTACTATTATTACAAATTGCTAAATATTTTTTTAATTGAGATACAATAATACCTCTTAGCAGTATAAAGAGATCAACACTATTAGGAGTGGGTAGATCAAAGGTGGGATAATCAAATTCCATTATTTTACCAACAATAGCCAACTGTACTCTGCCTTCTACAAAATTAATGTCTAAGTAATGTACACGAATATCATTACTATTGTTTCTTTCTATTACAAGTTCTTTAGATATATTAGGTTTGGATTAAAATTCAAGTTGTTGATCGATATTAGATCATCTATGCAACGAAAAATATAGATATATAAATCACGGTTTAATACATGTTTCAAAAATGAATTTTCATAGAAGAACAGATACAAGTTAGCCATGTTTGAAGATAAATTATAACCCATCGGAATAGCTGCTGTTTGCTTATACACTTGTTCTTTAAAATTAACATAACTGTCATAGATACAAACACTAAGTATATTTTTACATTGATGTTTAGTGAAAATAAATTTTATAATAAATATTTCTCTGTCTGCAAAATAGTAAAGTATATCATTAAACACCTGATTAAATCTTTCAGATATATTTTAACACATAATGTAGTAAAATCATAAGTAATAACACAGTTGGCTGCTTTTTAAATATTTCAAGTTAGTTAAACATTCCAAAACTGGATTATTATTTTTAATGATCCAAAAATAGCGGTCCGAATCATTTGTTGAGAGTAACCTTATTTTGTCAAATAAAACATCTACATTGTTTGAGGTGCAATATATACAGATTTAATAGCTGTATTTAAACTTAACATGAGTTTTATGCAATTTCGGAATTGCATATACAAATGCTAAGTTAAAACGAATATAATATATATTTATATTCCATTTTTAATGTCTTTCTTTAAATTAGTAATAACTGTATTTTTATTTTAAATGCTTTTTGTAAATGGGTTTGTTGTATTGATTTGATTAATTAAAATTTTTGCACATAATTTTTTACACATAAAAACCAAAATTACAACCGGCTTTATCAATAGGGATAATAATAAATTGTTCTTCAATTTCCCTTATTTTATTTTTCAATATATTAAAAAAATGTATATTACATATTTAGATAAGTTTAAAGTTTTTAGCCGGTTTTATGTGAAATTAATAGAATATAGTTTCTATTAAAGAAAGAAACACGGAGGATAATGAAATGTTTTACTGATTTTAATGTGTAATCATCAATATATTTTCCAAATCTTTTAAGATTTCACTTTTTCTTTTTTAAAATTCTAAATTTAGTACTTATTTTACAAAATCGATTTTAAGTCCTAATTTTTTATAACTACTAAATTACCTGTAACAATATGATTATAAAAAGAGCCAATAAAATCACTATTGATACAGTCGCAAGGTAAATTATCAATTTCTCTCGGATTTAATTCTTGATTAAATTTTTTGTAGTTAAAGAGAAGAGGTCCTATAGGTTTATTGTATTTAAAACTAACTATAGGTTGCAATGATTTGATTTCTTCTTGAACACTTGAAAAGTAGAGATAAATCATCATATATTTTGTTTGAAATATATTACCATACAATTCTTTACCGAAATATTCATTGGATTTGATTCCATTTTAAATCTTTAAATATGAATATGTTTAGATTCAAAATTTAACATATATTTTGACAACTATTTAGGTTTTGTATTGTTTAATTCAAATAATTGTTTTATTATGAATTTTAAAACATTAATAGATCTGTTAAAAGATGAATCTAAACTTTTACAGAAATTCTCAAAATTAATCATTTTTTTTTTCTATTTACCTTAACCCCTATTTTTATTTTGTTTAACGTTACAAATATTTATCTGAAATATACGGCTCATACAAATATTCTAAATTAAAGATTCAGCACTTCTCATTTGGAAATCGTCTCCCGGTGACACAGTAGTAAGTTTACGGTCTTGCAACGCTAAAATCCGGAGTTTGATTCTCCGCGGTGGACACAGCAGATAGCCCAATATGGCTTTGCTCTAAAACAACAAACTGTTTGAAAATCCATAAAAATTGTGTTTATTTTCTTTCAAAATAAAGTATTCTTCTCGTTCCGTTTATAAATTAACATTATATATTTTTTCTAAAATAGTAACTTTGACATTAGCAAATGAATTTTTTTTAAATGGTCTATTTCAATAGAATAAGAAAAAACCCTTATTAGTTTGAAATTATGTAGATTAATTATTAAGCGCAAAGAATTAGTTGTTTGTCCTACATACTTAAGACCACATATACCATAGTTAATGGATAAATTACTTTAACCATTTTACATAGTGGTATATCTTTATGTAGATGCTAAACATCCATAACGGACGGACGAGTTAAGCATCTTGAATTATTGCAAATTACCTTTTCATAAATTAAAGTAACGGATATGGATTACTGATAAGCAGTTAGCTAGGCTAAGAACTGGTGTACCAATGTGGTAGAAGAATCCTAAAGAGGAAAATTCCTAAATATAAAAGGGGGAAAAAAAGCGTTAAATCAACGCTTTAACATCATTTTCTATAAATAAATAAATAGCTCTATCACATTAGAGCTATTTATTTTGTGAAAAATGATGTTAAAGTGTTGATTTATCGCCATTTTCTCCATTCTATATTTAACAATTTTCCTCTTCAGGAATCTTCTACCACATTGGTGTATCTATAACAATTATATTACTTTTATTCAAGTGTATAAGCAAACAGCGGCTGTTCCGATAGGTGCTAATTTCAAACATGGCCAACTTATATCTGTTCTTCTGTGAAAATTCATTTTTGAAACGGGTATTAAACCCTAATTTATATATCTATATTTTTCATTACATAGATGATCTAATATCGATTCAAACCTACTATATATCTAAAGGAATTTATAATAGAATAAAGCAGTAGTAGTGATATTCATGCACATTACTTATAGATCATAACATGGGCAATTATCCTTATCCCTAACATAAAAGGTTTAGGTTTTTAAATGGGAACACTATAAGCAGGGTACAGTTGACTATTTTTGATAAAAGAAGGGAATAATGTTCAATTCTTCATAAATATATTGAAAAATAATGGTTATAAGGACTGGTATGTAAAAAATAATTCATATTTTGTATAATAGACATGAAATTACTTTAAAAAAAAGTAAACTTTCGATTACGGAAACTACGTTGTGGATAACTTAGAGATCGTTAGTTACTCAAAATCATACTTGTCTTATAAGTAACTAACTTTAAAATATTTAGGTATTTATTCAGTATACCGGGAGGGAAAGATCAACTTCAGATAACTGGGCTTGTCTCAGATCACCCGGGTTATATTTGAAAAGATTTTCAAGAAAAAGGGGGGGGGGTGAGGGCTTAAGAACTATTATATATATATATATATTAAAGTCTGTTCAACATCATTTGTAAATAAAAAAGTTCAGGTTGAGGGTCTTGTAGACATGTAGGGCGGTCTGAGTATCTGTCTTCTTTTACATCGCATATTAAAAACAAAGGGTGGAAGTTGGGATTCTTATATTGTAGAATGTTTAGAGTAATTTATTTATATTTTAATGTTATATCTAAGTATTAAGGATAACTGCCTTCCCACAACTGGCTGCAGACAGCGAAAGGTAATAGTTCAGAGTTTAAGCCCTCAACTCCTAACCCTTGCCTGATTCTCCACAGTTGCTGGCTAGTTTCGCATCGACTTCTGGATCATGCGTGATACATGGAATATTCTCAACACGTTCAAGTGTTATCAGGTGTTATTAGCCTCAGGCATTACTCGTCATGACTTAATGATTGATGACTTGGTAATGGAAA